TATATATGTGTGTGTGTGTGTGTGTGTGTGTGTGTGTGTGTGTGTGTATATATTTATGATCGTAAAAAGGAGTTGAATCAAAGTAATAATGAGAGAACGATAGAAATTATAATATTTGGGTATGTGTACTTACGATATGATAAGTACTTATTCGGTGTAAACTTTTTGCTGCAAAATAGTGATAGGTACCGGTCGTTCAACCGTCACCCGGCATGGTGTCCACGATATTTGTTTCAAATTACTTAATTATAATCCAATCTCCTCTCTACGGGATATTTCGTTTCGGATACAGGCGTATCCGAATATGTTTGAAATGGGTACAATAGTTCATACACAATTGATAAGATTATTAACGATAATACAATAATATTATATTATGATATTATACAATTTTATTTCATAGGTACTTGCATTTTCACAATGGATTTTTAGAACTTAACTTGTTATATTGCACATAGACGGTTGGACAAGAGTTCTTAATATAAAACAATATATTTACTGTCTATAATGTCATTAAATACCACAATTTATGTACAAAGTAATTCGTTCCAATTAAAATTTAAAAATAAAACGTGGAATGCCAAAATTCAACATAATGTACAAGTAATAAAAACGATAGATTTTTAACGTCAAGTAAATTGGCTAAAATATAGTTTTTTATACAATTTTCAAGCTATATGCTATAACATATCTTGTTTTACTAAAGAAAAACATTTAATAAGTGTCGTTTAACATTAATTTCAAGGTTTTTAGTTACTGAATAAAGTGAGGGATGTATTGTTTTATACAACCACATTTCCAAATTTTAATTAGTTAAAGCTTCATATAGTATAATAGAATTAGAAAGAATAATATTTACTCATTAGTTTTTTTACTATAAATTAAAACTTAAAAATAACTCAGAAATAAAATATAGTTTCACCCAAAAACTGTTTAAATTTCTTTTGATAAAACAATTTAATTATTTTTTCAAGAATTTAACATTAATTTAGCTTTGTCAATATTTTTTTCTTCGACCTATATGTTCACTTGAATTATACAAAAATCAACTATTTTTCACGAATATTGTCTATGATATTTTTATAAAACTGTCTAATCATTGTAGTTTATTTGTACCATATATCTCAATAAACGTTTGGATTCAAGTGTAAACATTTTTTTAGGTTTACTCTAAGACAATGCTTTTAAAGCACAAAGTTTTCTTCGTATACTTACCAAATTTTAAAATTAAATCGAATTTTTTGTTGATACTTTTAATATTTAATACATTTTACTTGAAAATAAATAAAAATATTTGATATTATTATTTGAAATTTTTAAACACCGAACATTAAGTGTTCAAACAATTTCTAGTCTAAAAATATTATAAACGCAAAAATTAACTGTATTTTTCATCTAATATATAACAGGGCACAGGGACTCATTGAGCATCGTTGCGTTAGGAATCTCATCGTGTTACACAATTTATAAGTAATTATTGTAAGAAAATACCAGAAAAACAAATGTTTTTGTGAAGCTAAACAAGACATTATTCATCAATTTTCAAAAGAGAGTTTGATAAAAAAATCAGGCTCACTTTTAGCAATGAACAACTTCAATACAAATGATAGCTGAATTACGATGTAATTTGATCTATTTTTATTCTTCAGGTACTCAGAGACAAAAATAAATGTCAACCGTGTATTATTGTTGTTCACAACTTATCATGACAGTCATGTTTGGTTATGTGAAAAAATGTGAAAAAAAATCGTTTTCTCCAATAATAAATACAACTTGGAGCAAAAAAAAAAAAATAAGTAACCGAGTAACATTCTTTAAAGAATTCCCGCATAACTCAATGCTTTGTTATTTATTAGTTTATTATTTTTACTCGAAAATTATAAAAAAAAGTCAAACATTAAATTAACCCTAAATTTCTTTAAAATAAATTTTGTTATAATTTAAAACATGGACCAATAAATTCTCATGAAACAATATTGAGCACATACCAATAAGATAATTAATATTCACAGACAACATCGACTAATCTGCTAGAAGAACCACAGTTATTTAATTATTTACACCTATATTAATAATACCCACGGTTGAATAAAGAATCGAATTTTGTTTTTTCTTGAAAATTGTAAGATCGCATAAGTATTAATATAAATAATACATAAAACCTACTGTATATTTTTTTAAGCGAATTATTGGAGCAATAAACTCTGCATAATGAAGCACGTCATATTAGAACATATGTTGTTTTATATTGTGTATCAAATTTTTACACGACGCATAAATTACTGTTTGTACCTTATAATCATTCGTTTGCAAATTAGTTTTTTTATACTCCCAAACAGTATTTGTAAAAAATATTAGCAATCAGATTATAAGTTTGGTGCATGATGAAAACATTGAAAACACGTTTGAAAATAATATATGTAGTGCATACATATTACCAGTGGCGTCAAACAAAATTTTGAATTATCTGGCCAATAGCCACCAAATTTACAACTTATAAAACGTACCCCATCCAAGGACGTACGCTAAAGAGTTGGAAGTTCATTCCCCACCAAAAATGTTTAATATATTTTAGCATTTATGGTAGTATTTGTGTGCTTAAACGTCTTAAGTAGTAATTATTAAATGGGCAGTATTATAATTTATAGTTAACTGAATTAATTAACTTATTACTTGTATACTAATTCACTACGACACCACCCTAAAAATATGGTCTGACAAGAAACATATTTTTAAGTATATTATATACTTGGGCCTCGAGTGGTAAATTTTTAGGGCCGATACATTTTGATATAATACGATACCTAAGTCATTTAAGTGATGACAAAAAGTAATGATGTTAGTAAAATTATTATTTTGATTTTTAATTTTTAATTTTAACATATTTAATATTCTTATACATATGGGACTTTAATACGTTATGAGAGTTTTTTTTTATAAATTTTGTCACTTAACCTATTACATTGAGGTTTTTTTGTATAAATAATAATAATAAATATATCTACTTAGTACAAGTACTATAGGTTCTATTATAATTATGTAAAATGTGATTTAACAAAATGTATTTTTATTTATACCTACACTGTATTTGTATCTTTCAGCTTACGAGTGTAGCGAAGGATGCCGTGGTTTCACTATCATGGGTTTTTTTTACAAATATTGTTAAAAAATTTTGGTTTGAAAGGGGCATTTTTTTCTTACCTGGTACGCAAATTATCTAAATACGTCTTTGGGTCTGGCCATGACCAGACTTAAACCCCAAGTTCGGTGTTAATGTGTAGTTTACGATATGAGTATCTCGCGGGACTTACCGGACGTACTAGTATCCGCTGTAAGACATACGTACGTTAATTCTACACGAATATCATGTACACTGTATCCGATAATAAGTCGAAGGTGACCCCTAAGAATATCGCGACCCCGGGTGAACGGATTAGAACTCGTTTTCCTTTAGCTCGACAATCAATGTTGTTAGGGGTGGGAAAACGCCTACTACGGTTTTACGTCACGCAAAACCGTTCCAACGCTCTCGTGTTCTGGTTCCGGGATATTGCACGGTGGCGGAGCGATCGTTTAAACTGTATTATTGTACTTCGTGTATCAATGGAATATTTTAACACATCGAATATACGGAAATTATAATCTAATATATGCACACGATATTACGATATTATGTAGAACTGTACACGGCGTAGGTATTGATTAATATCGAAATCGTTTGTTGTAATGTCGTAATGCTTAATTGCTGGACCCCCAAGGTCACGATCGCGATACGTCCGTAATTGGGTGGAGTTCCCGAGTGCACTAGTGCGCAAATGCTCTGCCGAGACCGGTATTTTACGGCCGGACCGCCCGCGTATAAAATACCCGTACGCGACGTGCACGACGTCAAATCATCTGCAGCAGTCCGACCGGGTTAACCGTGCGATATCGAATAATTTTCTTCGGTTTTTGATCGAGCAATCTCAAAACACATCAGAAATATGAAGGTAAGCGTTGTTTATTACATTACACACACATAACTGACGTGATTCGACTGATGCCCGCAACTCGTGTATTTCGCCCACCGATACGAAACCGAACGTCTCCCGTACAAATACACAGATATTGCAATATTATTATTATTGGATTTTTTATTTTTATTTTTAACAACTTTTCATACCCTTATATTATTCTTCGTTTTTCCTTTTTTTTTTTAAATATTAATAGAGGTATCGGAGGTAACACTCGCTTACGTCCAGACCGTTTGTGAAGCACGTTCCGTCACGAATTTTCGCCGCGACACCGTAGCGTTCGAACTCGTGATTTCAACGATTTCCTATTACACGTCCAAAGGTAACAGCGTGTTTTGCGCGTACCTTCGCCACTGAGTAATGACGCGATAATCATGGAATAGCATAAACCCCGCCTCATCAAAAACGGTGCGTTTTTAGAAAACAAAAATTTCAAACCGTAATCCTTGACACGTTCAGAAATGAACCATAAGCCCGTGGCCGTGTGTGGGTCGTTAAACACTCCGTGTTGTCCGCGGGCAAACCGACTTTAACGAAATAGCAACGACCGGACGGGACACGCTTCACGGATAATAATTGTTTACCATACCATAATGTGTTGTACCGAACCTACCGTAACCACACCGTACCGTATTATTTTTACCAGGTTATCATGGTAACGCTTTTGTTGGCCGCCGTCGCCCTGTCCGCCACCGAAGCCGGGGTGATCGCTTACCACGCCGCGCCCGCCGTCGTACCGGCACCAACATTTTACGCGGCCCCGGCACCAGCCCTGGTCCGCACACCCAGCCTGGACAGCGCAGTGGTGCACTCGGAACGTGTCGGCGGCAACTTCGCGTACAGCTCGGTCGAGGGACACGCTTACACCGCTCTCACGCCAGTCGTCCACGCCGTTCCCTCCCCGGTTGCAGTGGCCTACAAGGCCGCCCCGGCAGTGGTCGCCCCCGTTCCTGTTGTCCCCGCCGTCTACGCGCCGGCCAAGACGTTTTATTACGCTCACTGAACGCCGACCGGTCAGTCGACGGCGACCGGAGCCACGCTCCCTGTTCGACGTATTCTTTTTCTTTTTGAGTTATTTTTTTTTCGTATTCATCGCCATGGGACAACAGCTGTCCAACCTGCGTACACGGGACGAGTACGGTCGTCTCGTATAACGTCGTGCAATAATATTTGCAATACGCACAGCACATGCGTAATGAATTATTGTACACCGCGTTCAGATCACGCACGCCGTGTTCAATCCCGTATTCTCCTCCCTATCTCGGATTTACATGGAACGTACGCGTTTTTTGCGTATGTTATTGTAATGTATTTTTCCCCTTTATATCTCTCACTCCTTGTACTGCCAGATAAAATAAATAAATGATTTGATAAAAAATAAACACCACCGTTGTATTTTTTTTTTTTTTTTTTTTGAACACCCGTATCCGTATTACATACATTATTACTGCGATCATATAGTCTTTACCGTCGAATGCCCAAACCAAATTACTGAATTCGTTTTGGTTTTCGAAGCTATGGTAAGTCAAAATCCATTATTCGTCTGATAAATCCTACTGAACAAAATTATGTTTGGAATTTTCCGTTGATCGATTATAAATTAGAGGTTTGTAAAAAAAAAAAAAATATATATCGAACGAAGTATCTTTAGCCCACAGTAAAAAATGTCATGCAGAAACAGTTATATATTGATTAATTTAAACATATTTGTTAGATTATTTTTTTTCATTGGCAATTTTTCATTGCTAATTTATTGGGTTTAGAGACGAACAACAGTGTACAGCAGATAATCGAATCGTGTTAAATCGTCTTTAAGCCAAGTGAGTAACGTAATCATGGTCTTAAAGGTCTAATAAACTCTAAGAAGAAGAAGTGTAACGTAAACATAAGCAATTTTTTTTAATTAGAAGAATTCAAAGTTCTATTTTAACATGCGAACGAGTACTTGTAAGTCGTAGACAACTATGATTACAACGTATAATATGAGAAATAATTTGTAAAAAATATTTTTTATTTTCAAATGAAAAAATAATAAAAACAAGTAACTCTGAATGATGCGAAAAATATATCGAGGGGGGTTGTGAATTTGAAAAAAATAAGCATTTTTCGCAGGTATTTGGTAGGAATAAGGAAGTTAGATTAAGTTAGGTTTATGAGTAAAATATTTAAATTACAAATTAAACTGTTTATCAAACTTCTATTTCATATTGTGATACCACAAAAAAAAAGTATTATACAATCTACTATCGAGAAATCGTAGTAGCAGAGTTATTGATGTTTTAAAGTTGAACGGAACGTTACAAGACGTTCCTTATTATTATGTTATTATTGTTATCAATTATAATACGAATAATATTCATATTTCATATCAATCAGCCATTTCGCATCTTTAAGATAAACCATTTTTTTTCCTAGGTAGAATTTGTAAAAACCTCAAAAAATGTCGGGGGGGGATGGGTCGCAACCCCCAAACCCAACCCCTAGTTGCGCCACTGTAATGTACAATGGTTTGGGGTGAATAGGAACGATTTAATGGTTTTTTGTAGAATTATGAGCTTAATTTTTATGGTATCGATATCACGAAAACTATTTTATATAGATCACATAAATATAAATATATAATAAACCAAAAATAAAGTTTAAAAGGTTCATGTAATAAAGATTGTTATAAACTGGAAAGGACCCAATGTTTCCCAACTTTTAATAAACCATGAACGTGTATTTAAAAGAGAATATTATCTGATTTCTGAGTATAAAATCTATAATATAAAAATGAATCGCAAAATGTGTTGGTAAGCGCATAACTCAACAACGCCTGGACCAATTTGGCCAAATCTTTTTTTCAAATGTTCGTTGAAGTTCAAGGATGGTTTTTACGGCGAGAAAAATTAGAATTATTGCTGGAAAAACCCTAAAAATAGCCCTTTTTGACCCGGTCGATAACTGCACAATTGAAAATGAATTATTAAATAAAACTATTAAAAAACTATTAAAAAACTATTAAAAAACTATAAAAAAAACTATTTAAAAACTATTAATTTTATTTTTGGTAGTAAATGACGGTTATTGCATAAATATTAAACAAAAAAAGATCCCGCAACAGGTGTCAAAACAAATAAGAATGTTAGTTCGAAAAATTATTATGCATATCGGTTGATGATTAAACGAGATCAAGACAAAATTATTCTACGATATCATGAGCTTCGTCAACAATTCATGGTCGAAATGTATGTAAAGACAAAGAGCGAACGATTTTGATACTTGCGATTTAATCAAAAAAAGCTGCGTGCAGAAGATTCTCAAAACAATTGTTAGATATTGGAGATGGGAAAGTTACTACAGATAAAACGGAATGTATAAAATTACCGACCGATTTCTGCACAATCATTTATTCGCAAGATGCTCTCATTGACTAGATATTTTCCAATGTACACAGACAATACATAAATCATGAGTGGCTGGCAGAAAGGGCAATTTTAGTAGTAAAAAATGTGGACGTCAACGAATTGAATCTCAAGATAAACATTTATTACCAGGAGACATGGTGTCATACAAATCTATAGATATAGTTTGCTATGCTACTGAAGCTGTAAATTATCTAACAGAGTTTTTAAACTCATTGGACTTACCAGGCATGCCACCGCATAATTTACAATTGAAGGTTTGTTCTTCGGTTATTTTGCTTCATAATTTGACCTACCACGGTTGTACAACGACACGCGATAAGTTGTTAAAAAATTAATGAAAAATGTTATCGAAACCATAATTTTAAATGGCAAATTCCGAGGTGAAAATATATTATTACCGCGAATCTCTATTATACCCACAGATGTGCCAATACAATTTAAACGCTTTAAATTTCCAATTAGATTGGCATTTGCAATGATTATCAATAAGTTTCAAAGCCAAACAATGTCTGTAGCTTAGATTTGAGCACATCATATTTTTCACACGGATAATTATACGTGGTGTGCTCTCGAGCCATCCAGTTTGTGTTTGCGAAAGATGGGATTACTACTGTTGCATTAAGGGATAGATATTGTTTTTTACTTATATTGTCATAATTAGCGATATATATTATTTTAATGGATCAATTTTAATAAATTATTAAAAAAATAAATGTTTGATGTTTTTTCATTTTTATATTTCGTTACCATTCATAGCACGCCATATATCTTCCTTACATCCTTATCCTTACCCACATTATTACATGCCTATATTTAATTAGTTATTTTTTTCTAGCAAAATATTCTCTAGAAATAATTTATATGACAAAACAACGTTTGTCGGGTCAGCTAGTAATAAATAAAAATGTATTATTTAACGATTTTACTATTTGATCATCAGACTAAGAATTGCCAACTTTTTAAAATTTCTTAGAGTGGGGCATTTGTCATAGTTTGCCCCCCTCCAAATTACGCCCATGAACTACTCATCAACTTAATAAATACTCAACCACTCTTATCACATATTAACAATTATTTACAAAATATTAAATCTACTGTTAACATGTATAATAATATAATAATATAATATATTATATTGTTATTATTATATGAGATTTAAAACAAACTTTTTTAAAAATTTTAAATAACATTTTACAACAAATTATTTATTAATATATGGCTATACTTTAAAAGAGACATAACTATATAAAATAAAATTAGGTTAATGAGATGAATTATTTTTGGTTATTATGAGGGAGTATTATTTCATAAAAGAAATGCTAATATAACATTATTAAGTACATATGAAAATATACTCAATATTAAGAATCTATTTATATCTGTAGCGTTCGCTTAGTGAAATAGACGTTTTATTACACTATATAAACCATTTTTCGACTATTTCGTGAAATGGATAAAAGCAATTGGTATTATCCACATTGTGAAGTATTTGATTTTTAAGTTAAGTTTATGAATGTAAATTAAATTATGCTATTAAGCATAAATGACAATTTTATAGGTCCATTTCCCCAGCACCCCCACTTTCGAATTTCGGGTTCGATCCGGTCCCAATCGTTTGTACCTCGTTTGTACCTGATTGTACCTCTAGTCCCTTCGTTTGTACCTCAACAGTTTTTAAGTTATAACTGTTTTAATTGTGGAGGTGCTGAGGAAATGCCTGCACCCCACTTTCGAATTTCGGGTCCGATCCGATCCCAATCGTTTGTACCTCGTTTGTACCTGATTGTACCTCTAACCCCTTCGTTTGTACCTCAACAGTTTTTAAGTTATCCCTGTTTTACTTGGTAGGATACAAGTAAATCACACTTTTACTCTAGAAAATAAAAAACATTGTGTGTAAAGTTTAATTTTGTCTATGATACTTAGTTTAAGTTATCCCTGTTTACTATCATGTACATTTTTAACACTTCTTAAGTTCGTGTGGTTAAAATTTTTGAAATTTTGCGGAATTTTGCATTTTCCGCATCAGATGTATTTCTATGACTAGTGTAATCATAGGCATACATCATATTCAAATTTACAATATATTTTTAATACAAAATGAATTAAAATACAAACGGTTGAATATAAATATATGTGTATGTAAATTGTTACGAAAGTTATACTAATCAACTTTAATTCTGTTTTAATAAATTATATACGTAATATTTTTGAATTCACTATTTAAAATAGATATTTATTTTATTTCTTAATAAAAAGTAATAAGTGTCTTATTAAAATTTATTCAGTGGTATTAATTTGGTTATTAGAACTCTATCGAAATATTTTATCGTGTAGTTTGTGTAATTATTAAATGTGCCTATTTATTATGATTAATTAATTATCATTTATTAATTAAATTATTTATCAATTTTAATACTATTTTTCCTTTTTTAGATTTTCGTAAACTTTATATACCTTCAGATATTTATTGTATGTTTTATTGTATCCTATTGTATTTGTACCCAAACTATACTCTCAGTACTATTGGGCAACCTCCTGGCTTATATATTTGATATTGGTTATAGAAATAAAAATTAAATATATTTTCGTATATTTGTAGTTTTGTTAATTAATGAATTAATAAATATAATTAAAATAATTATACATTTATTTTGACACCTTGACATGTGAAATTGTTTCAATCCCCTAAATGTAGTATGTCGGTTAGAAGATAAAATAGAATGTAAAACCGTTGATTTTTTTTTTTTAAATAGGTTCTATTTAAAATTAATATTAATCACAATAACCATTATTATGGAAAAATAAACTCTAATTTACATCAAATAAAAATAACAGTTAATATAGGAATACCTGGTACATTATTATAAATTATTTTATGATTAATTTATTTGTTTTTAAATTGTAATATGATATTTGTCTACACTCTTGTGAATATAATATGATTATTTTATGATTGATTTTATATATTTTATATTTTAATACAAATTCATTATTTTTGTCTTGATATTTTGATCGTGGATATTATGTCCTTAGACATTTTTACCAGGAATTTCTATTATAGGATACATATAAAACAAATATGTTGAAATATTATTAGTAAATGTAAAATAAACAAATGATAATTATATTGTAAATCTCGTAGAGTATAGGGGAAAAAATTATATAGCCAGATTTTAGATTATTTAGATATTGTATATTAGAATTTCTATTATAGGATACATACAAATCAAATATGTATAACTAAATGTATCAGGCACGTAGTCAGAAAATATTCACTAGGTGGGCCAATGTTAGGTGGGCCTCCTCCTCCCAGGACTTTTTTATATTATAAAAAGTTAGTTATCAGCATAACATTACTACAAATATATATGTATATAACCTAATAATACCATATTTTATCATTTTGCTCTTCTCTTTGTAATTTTAGTTTTCTTTTGGTACATCCACTGAGAGGTGTCATTTTAAAAATTAAATATATAAGATAAAATGTATAAATACTATAAATTGTACAAATATTAACGCAGTTGACGTTAGCATAACTGCGGCGTGCATTGAATGTGAATGTAAGTGCCCAATCGGAGACCATAATATAATTCTATATTTCTATATAATTCAATATAATGACAATACCTTCGCCCAAAGTATTTTAAAAATAGACATACAAGTATACAGTAGTCACTGTCTAGATATGATAAGAACAACTTGACATTGTAGTACAGTACCGGTATTTAGCTATAAATAGAAATTATTTCCTAATCGATCGTTTAAATTTAGTTACAAGTTACATTACTTAGATAATAATTAAAACCCGATGTATTTGGTTTTATTTGCGTCATATTTAGGCAATGTTAAAAATTTGGTAAAAATTAAAAGCAATCATATAATAGTGAGCCCCTCTCAATACTTTAGGTGGGACGACCTAAGGCCGGACACATATTAGGGTGGGCCAGGCACACTCTGGCCCTCCTTTAGCTACGTGCCTGAAATGTATACTATAACGGTGTGTCCTAGGTGAACGCGATTTAGCGAGCGGGCGAGCGGGCGGGCAAACCCCATATTTTTTTATTGTCCGTCTTATATGTAGGTCCAATAAAACGTACAAATTTTTGAATCTCAAATTCTGATCAGCTATCGTATATATTCTCTTATTCAATAATATTTAATAATATTATCGATTATGGAATAATTCTAATAACAATTGTATTCTATAATAAATGTAGGAATCTATTTGTGTAATGTAGATTGATGGCCACTTTTCATGACAATGGTAATGTAATTTATGGGCGGCATCGCCATAGGCATGTGTAGACTTTGTCCGCAGACAGGGCCGTATTTATGCCTAGGCCCGTAAGGCCCGGGCCTAGGGCGGCAAATTTTGTAAGAAATAAAAAAAATTATATAAATATTTTATGCATTTATGTAACTGCGTAAATTAATATTATATAATATTTAATAGTAATATAAATAGTATTAAATATTATAGTATAGATATCTGTGTGTAAAATATACGGGCGCATGACACTGAAAATGTCAATAACACGAAATCAATTTTCCCGTAATGTGAGCTATAAAGATAAGATACCTACCTAGGTACATAATGTAAGTTGTTCCTAAATGTAATTACGATAATAATATAATATATATTACGTTTGTAACAAATTGTACAGCAGAGCGGTCGTTTTCAGCTTTGTAAAGAGTAAAATCTCATCTTCGTTCAACTTTGGAGTCAGAGAGATTAAACGCGACATCCATACTACCAGAGTTGGGCATTAGTCGAATAAAATATTATTCGATTGATTATTTGAATAAAAAATTATTCTTCATTGATTTATTCTTAATTTTATTATTGATTTTTATTTTTATTTATCATTTTAATTTGTATTATTATTCGTTATTCATTATTCAGAGATTTTTATTTACTATATTTTATTCATTTATTAGTTATTCGTTATTCATTATTCGTTATTCGTTATTCCCTATAATCATATAAATAATAAATTTAAATCCAAAATAACGATGTATAGTGATAATATACTTATTATTTAGACTTAAATAATATATATAAAGGTAATACATATTAATATATATAATAATTGACAAAAATAAATTAATTATACTTTTATATTTAATATCATTATTTATTTAATATTATTCATGATTTTAACGAATAAATTTATTCTGAATAATTGTTTTATTAACGAATAAAACTATTCAGAATAATTTTATTCTTTATTCAGTATACCACAATTATTCAGAATAAAAAATTATTCTTTATTCATAAATAAATTAGTTATTCAGGCTTTTATTTTTTTATTCATTATTTTGATTTGTTTTTGCCCAACTCTGCATAATACACATAGAATTTGAGATGCTTCGAAGTATAAATTATGATGATATAATCGACGATTTCGCGTCTAAAAAAGTTCGTCGTAAAATGTTATAGATAACATAGGTGTATAAGATTAAAGATTATTAAGATTATTATAAGATTAAGATTAAAAATTTATACTGCTAATGCCTTATTAGAATTGATAATTATTTGTTTTATTTATAATGACTATTGATCTAATTTCTTTAAAATTAAATAAATTTATTAGAAATAATTACAAGATTTTTTTTTCTTGGGGTAGGAGTGGCATATTTAAAAGGGCCTAGGGTGGCACTTGTTTTAAATCCGGTCCTGTCCGTAGGGGGGCCCCTTAAAAAAGTGAACCAAAGATTCTTGTACTTTAGACCACTAGTATAATTAAATATTTTAAATTTTATAAATTATTTATTTAATTCAATATGCAAATATAAAAATAAATACTATTTAAACTTCACAATTTATAACTAAGAAATCCTTATTTACATATTATTATACTATTTACAACTCCATCTTTCTGTCCACGGGAGTAAGGTTTTTGAATGTATCAATTACATCTTCAAATATACAAGTTCTGATTAGTCTGATTAATACCGTGATAAATATTATGTTTTTATCTAAAAATTCTTCGAAATATTTATTTTTATATTTTTCTAAATTCCATGGACTTTTTATGGAACGGGGTATTTTACAAAAATATTTTTCTGTTCCTGAAAATCAAAATGAACTTAATTGGGACAAATGAAAATAGTATTACGGAAATTTCAAGTTAATATGTTTTAATTAATTGCCAATATGTTAAATTAAGTTAACTTTTAACTCATTAAATCATTAATGCTCAGGCATGCTAAATATGCATTTATTCTTGTTTATCATAAAAAATTGCAAAAAATGACATGGTTTTTACTTGTTATTTTTGAAATGCACAGTACCTAACCAGTAACATTTAAAGTAGATGAGTATAATTTTGAAAGCGATGAGGCCAAATTGTAATTTTTTTTATGAATTTTCAAATAGAAAAATCTCAAGTCTCGCCGTCCAGTCGTAAAAGAAATTACGGGCCTAGAGATTCTTTAAACCACGATTTTTACTTGTTATTTTTGAAACTTACTTGTCAGGTAGCCTGGAAAATTTAGAGCTGATAAGTATAACTATTCAAACTTAAAAAAATATTCCCAGTCCCTTATTACCCAAGGCCGTATCTAGAAATTTTTTTTGGAAGGGGTCCAAAACATGTATATTGTAATTTTATTGAATTAAGATTTTAATTTTTGATATTTGGTTAAAAATAAGACAGAAAAAGATTTAATCTTTTTTTATTAAAATTAATATCATATTTTCATATGATATTACGAGTAAGATATAAAATTAAATGCAGTCAATGATTAATTGGAGCTTAAATCATTTTTGACTGAAAATATTTATGTTGGTATTAAAAATAAATAAGTATTTTAAACATTCCTAAAATATTGAAGACATTTAGGGGGGAGAAAGACACCCTGGACCCCCCCAGATATGGCCTTGTTAACTATCTACAGGTTATATTCTCATATATGATTAAAGAATAAAAAATCAAATGTATTACTATAAATTGTAATTGAAGTCACAAACAATTCGTAAAATACTGTTATTTCGATTGACAGTTGAACCATAAATATTATAGTCAAATAACTTCTTCATTACCGGGCTATGTTAAGGAATCAATGAGTAAAGCAAATTTGATGCGAACAATTAAATGTTTATTTACACATATCAACAAGACATAATATTGTTAAGTACGTTGTCAACTATGGTTGAACAATTATTTTCCTTACAATTATTTCGATGTGATTTTAGGCGAGAACAGGTCGAATTGGTCATGGTCGTTTTCAAGGGTAGTATGCGTACGGGGAAGCCAAGGTCTTGGCAACATAGGGGTAGGTGGTGTACGAGGAAATGTACGGTGCGGCGTATGGGGAAGCAACTGCATACGGGGTGGCGGCGGCATACGGGGCAGCGACTGCGTACGGGGCGGCGGCGTACGGGGCTGCTACGTACGGGGCGGCGGCATATGGTGCTGCAACGTAAGGGGAGGCGACCAGCGGTGCGATCAAACCCCGTTTGCTTCTGTCGGTGGCGGATGTAGCGGACTGCGGTTTGGCTTCCTCGGCGGCGGCGGCGGCGGCAAAGCACACGACCATGGCAAGCAGAGCGAAAGACACCTGTAAACACACGTCGACGTGAAATACGTAAGTTTAAGCAACCCGATCGGCGTAGATTCGGACGTGCAAAGCGTTGTGCTATGACCTAAGTATCTTGAACAAGACTAACGGGCCTCCCGTCCGACGCAATCAGACGGAACACAGCGGATTCTCGGTCGCGAGTATGAAAATATTCTCCGCTTTCGATTCAGCCAGTACTGTGCACCAGCCGGGAATTCGTTCGTTTTCCAACCACCGCTTTGCACGGAACCCGTACCTAATTCGGACCTTACGATAAAAACTCTTACTTGGAATTGCATGGTGATGTTGGTGTTGGTTGGTGGACTTTGGACTTGTCTGATGGAGTGCTACCGAAGACTGACGGTTAACTGGTACGGTCTGTCGGCGAACGCGTCCGTTTTATACATCACGTTTGCCCTAGTGACGGCCGATCATCATTCCACGCACGACGTGCACACGACCATCGCTTACAGAACGGACGCCGGTGCCAAAATATCAACGAACAATGGTACAGCGCGTAGGTGGTACATCTTAATCATCATAACTATAATAACCGCCGTAAATCGGCATACGACAGTGTCGTAACACGCGCGCGTATTTCTGTGTTCAAATCATCGGTCTCGTAATACGATTATGAAAGGCTGAATATCAATGGCACGACACGTCCGAGGTTCCGGGATTGCAACACTTCTACGTGTTCCCCGTTCGTCAGAATATTTCTTTAACCTCATGATCCTTATGGATGTATATGATATGGTACACGATTAAGGATATGATCGTTTACGGTAACCCACATGTCATTATTTTGAGGATAAAACATATCGGACGTTTGGTTTCAATTACGCTAGAGTAACTCGCTTCATAAAAAAACAGGACACTAGTTTGGTACACAGTAAAATAAAATACTAATAAATCAAAAATCAACCAACAATGTGTTGCAAAATTATTAAAAATATTATTACTTACTATTTTAAGAAAAATTATACTACTACTTGTAAAAAATATAAACATTTATTTCTAGTTTTGAAATTTTATCCCGATGTTGATAACAAATAAAATGTTCTCGTATTCTATACATTGTATTTTCTAAGAACAAAGTTTCTAACACAACAATTATAAGGAGCTATGACAGTGACATTCTTAGACCCTTTTATAAGAGGGAGAACACTTCATACATGTTTTCACATTTATGTATTTTCCTAGTTTGATATAAATAATAATTAACGAAAATATAAAGAAAAAACGGATATTAGGGACACGACTGCCCAATTAATCCCCCTCCCTCTAAGCTATGTGATGTATATTGCAAATAGGTGGGTGAATAAGAAATAGGTAATTACATACGACTGCATTAATATTTTATTTTTTTTGATAGGTTGAAATTTGTACAAGTTTAAATTTTTAAATTTAATAATGTATCATAATAGAAGCGAAGTCACCAAACAAAAAAGGTACAAATTAGCACTTCTGTGCTAAATCTATGAAATATACAAAAATATATACAATTTTTTATTTTGAATCATGACATAGAGAAATTAATTTATTTCGTACACTGTTATATTTTACAATAAATAACAAAATGATGAAAATGTTACGAGTCCATGAACCCTGGTTATATGTTATATGTTTTTGATTTATTTTTCAATAAAATATACATTTTTTTTTAATAACAATTTATAATAAAATGAATAGTAGAAAGTCTTTGTAATGATTTTTTCATAATATGTGGTGTCTGACGAATAAATATCTTGCAATCTTTGTTTCTAGTGATGGTCGATTAGAAAATTTTACCATCAAATTGATTTTGTAAAACGACTATATATTACTGTAAATTAAAACGTATTACAACTAGTGATGTGACATAAATCTGATTTATCCAAAAATTGGAAAAATCCGGATTTTGTGTTCTGGTCGGATTTTAGGCTACTTTAACAAGATTTTGGATTAACAGATTTCAATATGTAAAAAAAAAAAAATGTTAATGTTGTTAATCAGGTGCGTATTTAGTGGGAGGGGAGGTGATATGGGTGTTAGAGCACCAATAGACCATATTTTATGGTATTTTACCAAATTACAAACTTACAGTATAATTTGAATAAACGTTGTAAACAACTTGCAGAATTTACACTTACTGTCTTAATAAAATAATTTTCATTAATATAATAATTTATATAAATACATGGTATTTATCAATATAATACGAATGGTGGCAGAGCCCCCCCTTACCATAAGTTTATTAAATTTTAAAACACTCCCATTAAATGAATCCTGGATACGGTATTGTTGTTAACACTGGTTAGGTTAGAGAAACGAGTCGAGTACGGACAGGAGACGAGTCTGCGATAGGCATTCGACGAAGCCATTACGCGTCTCGTTTCGTTTGAATTTTATGTGCAGTGTCGATGTGTGTCTTATAAGTATGTTATGTAAGATCTGTATTAATCAAATAAACTCTTTCCAATATTTATATGATTAGTGAACCTAATAAATAATTGAATTTCGGATATAGCATTAGGGATTTCTGTATTCTAATTAAAAAATTTATTTATTACGAAACATGTGATGTTATCAAGACAATATATATTTTTAATTATATTGAATTATTTTTATATCCATTCATAGTTTTTGTTCTACTATAATAATATAAGTACTTAAATCAGTTTACATTCATCGTTCAACATGAACAGATGTCGTTTTCGTTTATCCGTTATCTTTTGCACACTACACTAATGAGCCTAATCTAATATTATTAATCAAAACATGACTTGGAATAATTCGAAATGCAATTTATCCACTTCGTCATCATCTTCACCCACAAAATCAAGCGGCAACCAAAGTAAAGTATTCATCACACCAAATCGCTATTCTTCACTCTCTGAAGACAACATTTTCGATCAGGAAGTGTTTAACCCTCCCGTTATTGCAACACCTTCCAAAGTCCAGTGCAATGCTTTGCCCGGTCACGTGGTAATTACTCCAAGTAAAACAAATTTTTTTTTTTACACCTTTCTATTTAAGCGGTGGCTACGAATTTTACACGCTCAAGAAATGACCTTGTCATTCCTTCGGGTATTAATTTTAAAAATACCCCAAAGCACCTGATTATCCGCACCAACGGCATCAGTAATTATAATCTAGTTTATAATTATCTTATCACTAATGAACAAATAAATTTCCACACATACCTGCCTATTAGTTTGAAGCCATATGCTGTATTTATCAGGCACCTCCACCCGTACACTGCTGTGAAAGACATATAAGCTAGCTTATTTGATATTGGCCACGAAGTTATTCGGTTCTCTAATATTGTACATCGTACCACTAAAAGACCTGTGCCTTTTTTTCGAATTGATCCAAAAGTTGCTGATAACAACAGTGATATTCTCTTATTAGATTTGCTTCTTCACACAAGAATCAAAATTGAGCTGCCCAGGAAAAAACTCTCCCCTCCACAATGGCATGATTGTCAAGCTTATTATCACACTAGTAATATTTGCCACCAATCCCCACGTTGTGTTAAATGTGGAGAAAACCATTACACTTCAGAATGTACCAAATCACTATTAGAACCCGCCAAGTGTGTCCTGTATTCAGGGCCGCACACAGCTTCATACAAAGGATGTCCAGTGTTTAAAAAACTTAGTGAAAACCTCCATCACTCAAAACTTATTGTCATCCGGTGCTCAATCACACCATTCCGTCTATAAACAAAATCACCTCCAGTTCCAACCAGCAACAAAAACGTTCATATGCCAATGTTACTACTAACACTTCACGCTCAACAGCTACGCCCGTAAGCCTAATCTCCAAATTTCTCGAAGATTTTAAAACTATAATTAACCCCTTATTACTTCTCTTAACCACAGTTGTCAACCACTTACTTCCATTTTCTTTTCCTATTCCTTCTCCTTAAAATTATAACGTTTATATTTATATATTATGTTATATTATGTTAACTTTATATATAATTGTTGAAGCTAATTGTAAATATACAAAGTTTTCAAAAAAAAAAAAAAAAAAAGTATTTCAATAGTTTTTTGTTTATCTATAACACACCATTGTCAATTAGTTTTAAATTATTTTTGATTGGTGATATTAAGATCAATTATTTTCCACAAACATAACACCGAATTTATTATTTCCATAATGCGCTTCTAATGCAGTTCCTTTAAATCGAGATTTGCACAAAAACTTTAGTGTAATGTATTTTAAATTGTATTAAAAAAAAAAAAGGCGTTACAATATTTGCAGAATCAAAGTAGGGTAGATTAGATTTTTTACGGTGTATTGGATATGCATATTATGTATCTTAGCTTTTTGGCCGTTAATATACGGGTTACGAGTATATTATACTCGTATGTGTGAGATTAACTTTAGGGGATAGAGGGTTAGAGGGCTCCGATAGAGGGTGTTACGGATTAATGGGGAATAGTAAACTAAAGTAAATCCCTCATAATTATTACTATTTTTAGATAAAAAAAATCACATCTTATATATTAAAAAAATGCATGAAAACTAAAGACCGTCTGGCCGTTCTATCCGACCGATTTTCTTCATTTTTTTTTTTTTAAATGAAAGGTATTTAGACACAGATATGTAAACAATCATTGCAATTTACTCAACTCTCACCTTATTCATGTTATACTCAAACGCGATTCTTCTCTGTACATTTCTTATGGGACACATTCACTCAAGCAATTCGAATTCTCATAGCTCCTCTTCTAATTTATGGATCTTGATCGTTTTACTCTCAAAACCCTCAGTGGGTTAAGCTCTTTCTTTTGAGCTATTAACTGCTTAGATTCGTTGAGTTCGAGGAAAGTTATGCGTGCACAATCAACTTCACATTCGATTTTTTCAATATTTTCCTTTACTCAAACCTCTATAACTAGAGTTCTAATTATCATAGGCTATTAACACAAGTATAAGAACACTCAGTGGATTATGTTCTTTAAGCTATTAATTACTTAAATTAATTGAGTTAGAGGGACTTTATGTGTGCACAATTAACTTTACTTTCAATTATTTCCAAATACTGCGTTCTCATTGGCTCTTACCCAGTAATATAGCAACAAACAATTCACAAACAATACTAATATTATTACTTATATTAGCTAATATTGTCTGGAAGGAAGCACTATAAAATAATTTTATGTAATAATTACACCTTTTTATACATAGTCAATCTTAATGCTATGAAATATATATTTTAATAAACACTCTCTGTCATTTCGATATGTTTCTCAATTTTCAATATTATACTCATTTATTGATTTTTTAAAATGTGTTTAAGTATTGATTCGATTGTATCTATACTTTTTATTATATAAATAAATTATTTACTGCGAATTTTCGCAACGGGTATACTAGTATTATATTATTAAAATTAATCATGTACT